TCTTGGCCCTGTCCTCTCCCTGCTTTGGGGTTCTGTCCTATTATCCAGGGCCTAGGTCCTTGCTCGGCCTGGACCCCCTCCCTCCCTCCTCGGTGATTTTGGAGCCAGGTAAATAAATTCCAGTGGCCACAGCGGCAGCCAGGCTAGACCTGGAGGGGAGGGACTTGGCACCGGAGTTCCAGGGTGGGGAGATGGGGAGGAAGGAAATGAGGTGGGAGGAAGGTGAGGTAGGAGGGTCAGGAATGGGGCGGCGCTTGAGAGCTCCTGGAGAGAGGCCGCTACCTTCCCAGCATCCAACATGCCCACGGGGCCTGGACTCGCCTGCGAAGGAGCGGCCCCTCTCCCAAGCCACGGAGTGGCCTCAAACGTGGACCCTGTCCAGCTCTCCATCCTGCTCTCCTCCTTGGCCAACCTCTGGGGGCTGTTTGAGGAACAGAGACCCTGCTGTATCCCATGCCAGGCCAAGAGGCTGGCAATTCGGATGCCCCACCTGGATCCAGGCAGTTTCCACGCATGCTCAGAAGGCTCTGAGGGCTCACTTCCAGTCTGGGGAGGTGAGAGAAGGCGTCGATGACACCTTCTCAGGCAGGCCTCCCCTGGCCACCCTTTCTAAGGAAGTCCCACCTTGTTATTCTCTAGTACGGCACCCGGTTCATTTCCTTCTTAGAGCTTATCACAGTGTGTAACTAGATACATACACTCATTTCTCTACTTGCTTACTTGTTCTGTCTGTCTCCTCCACTAGAGTGGAAGTTCCCTGAGGTCAGATGCTCTGCTTCTTTCTGTGCTCACTGCCTCTCTGTGCCTGGCACGTGGCAAGGCTCAGTAAGCATCCGGTGAATGGGTGAACAGCTGAGGGACTGGCTCAGTAAATAGGGCCTCCTGGTTGCCAACGTTACCTTTAGAATGGCTGCTCAAGAGTCTCAGGATTTCTCCGGGGAGATGGATGCAGGATGTAACCAGAGAGCAAGATCAGGAAGCCTGGGACCCCGAGGGAAAGGTCAAGGCCCAGTCAAGGTGTGCATCAGCCTCACCGAGTCCCCTCCATCACACTGAGTGTGGTCAGGGGCACACCTGCACACACAGAGCATGCACAGCGAAGCCCGCACCAGTCTTCATAGGCTTTGAGTTCTTTCCTCTCAATAACCCCTGTGTCCCCGGACAAACTGCACACACTTTCTAAAAGTCTCAGTTTCTTCAAAAGAAAAAGTGGAAGAGGTTGGCCCCCGTTGGTGGTCCTCATGTCCTCAAACGCGGCTCTGCACCATTATTGCTAAAATCCAGATTCCCAGGCCCTCCCCTGCAGATTCTGAATCTGTCCGGATGGGGCCTGAGGATCTTTCTCTTTAATACACTCCCAGGTGACGCCCAAATAAACGGTCCAGAAACTGAGACTTGAGGACCACGAGTGAGATGGTGCTTTCCAGCCAACATTTGGACTTCTGTTAAAAAGCCATTTCTGCAAAGGTACACAGCCCCCCGCCCCCCAAACATGATCATATTCCCCACACAGAGCCATACACTGCAAAGGTACACACGACACCGACGACACACACCTGTATTGCACGTGTGCACACTCCCAAAAGGCCCAACACAAAGCCACTACGTGGATCACAAACTGTCACAGAACCACACCTGCAAACACAGCCTGGGGCACACACACAGGCCCCCACCACACACCCAGTGTGCACACACACACCCATCACACGCTGACCCACACTAAAGAGTCGCGATCCTGAATTTATTTTGCCTCCGGGAACAGGTCCAGGACCAAAGAGGCTCTGCTCCGCTGATGAAAACACCCCTCCCGCCTCTGCCACCTCCGCCCTTCTCCCTCGCCCCAGGCAGCATGCTGTCCACCTCCCCCTTGGGGGGGTTGCTGAAGGAGGGCAGTGGAGAGACGGCATGAGTGCAGGCACAGAGCCCCCCCCAAAGTCCAGCAGCCCTCTCTTCCCCTTTCCCTCACTCCAAAGAGATGCAAAAGGGCCTCTGCCCAGTCATCCCTCAGTGCTCTGCCCACTTGCCTAGATTCCCAGGCCCTGGTCCTAGCAGCCATAGGGTTAAGGAGGCGGCCAGATTTAGGGACTCCTCCTAATACTCAGGCCTCTAAGGAAAGGGCTGTCTGGGGGCACTTTCCTGCAGCCCAAAGGCCTGGGTCCCCCAGGGAAGGTTACCACAGAAACAGGGGGAAATATCGCAGGGAAACACAATACCCGGCAGAGTCACCTGGTGACCAGGCTTCCTGCTGTGTTGCCCACCACCCCCCTCATCTCAGCAGACTCACCGCCTCCTTCTCCAGCCTCAGCCTGGGCCTCCTCACCAGTGCGCTCCATCCCTCCTTCCCTGGGGGTGGGGGGGGGGGGGAGAGACAGCCTTTGCAACAAGTCTGCCCCGTCTATGGTTCCAAACAACAACATCAGGGATGGCCCGGAGCTGAGCCCCCAACTCCTGATCCTACCAACGCCCCCACCACAGGAAATCAAAGCTTCCTGCCCCAGAGGAAGTACCCCATCTAGTGAACAAATCCAACACACACACAAACGCAGTCCTGGAGCCTCCGGGAGGACACATGCCCTCCCCCCAGCTCCCAGGCCCATGATGGGCCCCAGTCTCAGTCTGGGCTGAAGGCAGACCAGGGCCAAGCTCTGAGGAGCAGGCCTGGACAGGACCTGGGCCAGGCCAGGGAGAAGGCCAGGAGAGTGGGCACCGGCAGGGTTGGGGCTGCTTCCAGCTCCACTCAGCCCACCATTCCCTGTGTGTGTGTGTGACCCTGGGCCGTGCATGAGCTCATCTTCTCTCAGGCCCCTGCCAACGTCTAAATTACCAGCTCGCAATGAAAAAAGAGGCGGAGGTTACACAGGCTTTTTCCTCCCGGGTCCTTGGGCAAGTGTGTCCACAGCCAAGAGAGGGTCCCCACTGCCCCATCACACAGGAGCTCACTCCCATGATCAGGACTAAGGAAAAGTTCCAACTCTCATTCCCAGAAGCCACCCAGGATGAAAGCTGGTGTCTGTTATCCCTGAAGGTATTGGGGGGGGGGGGAGACACACGCATAATAGCCCTCACACTGAACATTGATCCTTCTCTTTATAGTTACCCTCTCCTCCTCTCTGCTCTGGGAAGTGCACCTGAAATTTCCTCCCCGTTTTATTGACGGGGACACTGAACTTCAATAGCAGAGCAGAGTGACAGTTTTAGATTCTTGGGAGGGTCTGTGCAAGACCTGCATGCGACTTCCCAGCCTCACCGTGCCAGCCTAAGACCTGATGGCCAAAGAGACACCCACCCCCGGGCTCACGCTAACGAACACAGAGGCCTCGGGAGAACACTTCCCCAGACCATTCCCAGACGTGACACCAGCGGCGGCTCTGAGCGTGGCCCTGCCAGGTTCCGGGAGCGTCAGGGGACTAAAGGCAAGGGAGGCGTCCCAGCAGGTCCAGGACCTGGTTCCAGGCTTGGGTGGCTGTGCATGACACAGCGCGTCTGTCTGCTTTGTGCCTTAGTTTCCCTCAGAAGTGACTGCAGGAAAAGAGGAAAATGACTCATTAACTGAGGTGGGTAGAAGGAACAGAGAGCAGAGGAGAAGAAGGAGATGCTAAGCCATGAGGAGCTATGAGATGGCTCGCCGATGCTGAAAAGGGAGCTTGGGATGTCTCAGAGGGCTGGCACGGAGAAAGTGTGCGTGGCAACCTGAGCCGCGTCATGGAAGGGTTCCTGTTGGGGAGAAATGGGCTGCCAAGGTGCCCCGTTAGGGGGTGGGAAACTGAGTCACAGTCTCCCTTCTTTCAGCCCAGTGCCTGGTCCAGTGCAAGTCCCGAAGGGAGCAGGCTGAACAGTCCAGAGCTTGAATCCTCAGCCGGGCCACTAAAATCCAATGCCCCATTCTCTCACCCTAGAATTTGGCAGGTCAAGCTGGGCCTCAAGCAGATGTTGAACTGGTGTGTGGAGAGGGATGGGCAGCAGCAATACAGCCAGTGTCCAGATGCAGGGGGAGGCCTCTGGGTATGCGGGACAGCCAACAGGGACTAGGGAATGGCCTAGACTTGGTGGGAGGAGCAGCAGTGGCTGGAGAGAGGTCAGATCCGAATGTGCAGATCCGAATGGGCAGCCAGAGGGAAGGAAAAAGGGGTTGCGGGGAGAGCTGGGTGGCCTGCAGGCCCCAGAGAGTTCTCTCTCAGCGCACAGGTCTAGAAACTGCCCCCTGTGTCAGAGCCCAGCCCCGCTCCCAGGTCTGCAGCCTGCTCTCACACTGCCCTGCACCAGCAGACCCCAGGCCTGGGGGTGCACACATCCTGTCCACAACTCTCAGGACACCATCGCCTGCGGTTCTCCCTCTGTCAGCCCCTCGGCCGGCAGCGCACTGGGGCACAGGTGTCTCTTCGCCCTAATGGGTGAGCAGGGTGCGGGGCGGTGCTCGGAGAAACTTCCCAGTCCCGGACCCTCCATCCAGGGGATTCCTCTGCCCCAGCCTAAGAGTCGGGGGATCCGCGAGATGGGATGATGTCCAGCACCACCGGCCCGGTCACAACTCAGTGGGTCCTGCCCTTTGCCCTCGCGCTTCCAAACCTTCCGCCCCGGAGCACCGCCCCCTCCCGGGGCCGCGGGAGCCGTCCGTCCCTCCTTCCCCGGCGCCCCGGTCCCCCGGCCCGTCCTCCCCAGGAATGGGGGTGAAGGGACCCCGGGTCTGAGCATCGGCGGGCGGCCCGGGGCCTCCCGCTCCCTCCCTCGGGCCTGTCGCTGCCCCGGGGCGGGCGGATGTGGGCGCCCAGCGGGAGGCCCGAGCTCTCCGGCCCCGGAACCAGCCCGGGCCGGGAGCCGGCCCGAGCCCCGTGGAGCCGGGCGGGGCGGGCGCGGCCGGGGGGGCGCACGCGGGGCCGGGCCGCGGGGCGTCCGGAGCCCGAACCGGAGCCTGAGCCCGAGAGTCCGAGTCCCGGCGGCCGGGGCTGGGGAGCCGCGCGGGGCGGGGCGGGCGGGGCCGGGGGCGGCTGCCCGGTACTCACCCGCGCGGGGACGACTGTGCATCCAGCGGCCGCGGCCCTCAGCGCGGGGGGCGCATGGCGGGGCTGGGGGCCGGCGCCGGCCTCACCTCCCCCCCGGCCGCCGGAGGCTGCAGAGCGACTGAGAGACGGCGAGAGGAAGGGAGGGGGCCGGGAGGGGGAGGGCCCTGGCAGCCCGGCCGGCCGGGTAGGATGACAATGGAAGGAAATGCTTTATCTGAGGCGGAGAGCGGGCCAGGGGGAGGGGAGGGAGGGAGGGGGCCGGCGCGCGCGGCCCCGGGACACACCGCCCGGCAGACGCGCCCCGCGCGGCGGCGGCGGACACCCCGGGAGGAGGGAGGAGCGCGGGGCGCGGGACCGGCCCCTCCGCCCGCCGCCCGGCCCCGGCCCCGGCCCGCGCACAATTCCCGGAAACCCGGCTACCTGGGCGCCCGCAGCCCGGCGCGCACGGCGCGGACTCCCATCCATGTTTACGCAGGGCCCGGGCCGTTTCCGCAGACACCGCTCTCCGGGGCAGGACCTCCGCGCGCGCGAGCACCGACCAGCCCAGCCCACGAGCACGCAGTCCCACTCAGGGACACGCGTGGAGTCCCGAGTCCTCGGAGATTCCCGGGACACCCCCCTCCCTCCGCCCCGCCGACTTGCCTGAGGAAAGTTCCAGGATCTGATTTGAATCACTGCCCAGCCCTCCCCCTTTTCCCCCACCCCCAACCCAGCGCCTGCCGAGGGGAACCGGAGGGTCCAGCCTGTTCCTATTAAAAGAAAAGGGGGGCGGGGGCGGTGCGGGTTTTGAAAGTTTTCTTTAAAAAAAAAAAAAAAGTTTCTCAAGGGATTTCCTTCCCTCCTCTCCTCTTCCTCGCTTCCTCCCATTCCTCACCCCCCTCCCCACCACCACCACCCTCCCCCCTTCTCTTTCCCCCTCCCGGTCCCTATGAGTCAAACTTCAGCAATGTGCCCAGTGTCTCCCAGTGCATTACAGCGGATCACAGAAATGTTCCAGTCTGTGAGTCGGAATGCAGCCGCCTCCAGCCCTCCCTCAGCTAATAAACTCAGCTCCTGCCGGCTTCCCCCCTCTCCCCCCCCCCCCCCTCGCAGCAGCCTTCCCTGACCCCCTCTACCCTTTCAGCCCAAGGAGGTCAGATTCAGGGGTCAGAGGCTGAGGACCTCACCACTCTGCTTCCCAGCCTAGTCTGTCAGCCCTGTCGCCTCTGGCAGTCTGCTGGGTTAGAGACACAGGGGCTCCTGGGAAGGGGGGAGGTCCGCCAGGCTCTGGGTTCCCCCGAGGCATCACCCCTGGAAGGCAGGGCGCAACCTCCATCTGACCCCAATCTTCCCTTATTCCTAGGAACCCCAAGAGTCTCGGGATTCTACAGAAGGAGAAGTTGAGGCTGAGCCAGAGGCAGAGTCGTGTCAGACGGGGAAATAAGAGTCCACAGTGGCCTAAGAGGGCCTGGCCATAGACTCCCAGTTCCCACAAGCGCAGCTCCAGCCTCACCCCTTGTTGCTAACTGGGATTTTTAGCAGCCTACTTCGTCTTCAGCCCCTGTAGGTGTCCCAGCACTCAATCAGCAGGCAGCGAGTGCACTTGTTAACGTCTCCTCACAAAGTCTTTTCCTGGCCTCCAAGCCCCCCTGCTGCTGGCACATACTACACAATCTCTCTCTCTCTCTCTCTCTCTCTCTCTCTCTCTCTCTCTCTCTCTCTCTCTCTCACTCTCGCTGATGTTCTGCCCAGTGCCTCCTGGTACTTAGTGCTCAGCAATGCTAGTTGCTATGATTACTATTATCATTTCAGCCAAAGTGGGCTGCTGGCTGCTCCCCACTGTGTTCTCATTCTTTCCCACTCCCTCACCTTGGCTCTCCGTGTTGCCTCCAAAAATGAATGTCCTCACAGTTCTTTCTCCTCCTGTTAAAATCTTCTCAATCCTCAAGTCCACACCAACTTCTTCAGGAGCCATTCCCTGATCCCCACAGCCAGAGGGGTCTTTCCTTCCGTTAAAGGACCCCACCCCACGTGGCCAGTCTTTTCTCTTTACATTGACCTTTATCCTCTGAAGTCTGTCTCCTTGTCTCAACTCTCCTTCAAGAGTGGACATTCCTGAACCCAGCTATTGCCTTCATCGTGACTGCATTTCTTGTAGTGTCTTTCTAAGTGGCTTACACAGAATTCAAGCTCCCCGTAGTTATTTGCTGAATTGGGGCAGACATTCATGGCCTTCAAGGACCGTACCCCAGCTGAACACCTCCAACGCATCCTTTTTTTACCCGTGACTCCCCATGCTGACTCTGCAGGACACAAGTTCTCCCACCTCAGGGGTGTTCTTCCCAGCCCTTACTTCCAAACCATATCACTCTCCTTCCAGATGCCTCTTCTGTGCCCATAGCCTCCAGGAAAATTGCTTGGTTACTTCAGACACTCAGTCTTTCCCCTGTGCCTCTCTCCTTTGGTTCCCCCACCCCACCCCCAATGCCCTCTCTTAATCCCCTCAGGACTCCCGTCGTTATTTCTGGACTGAAATCAGGCCTTTGTGTACTCATTTCTACCATGTACACCAATCATGTATTTATTTGTGAGCCTTCCTTTTCTTTTTTCCATAATCACTGAGCTCTGAGAGATTTGAGCAAAAACGGTCTCTCCTGCCCTAGCTTGTTTGGTTCAGCGGATAGAGCATCGGCCTGCAGACTGAAGGATCTCAGGTTCGATTCCGGTCAAGGGCACATACCCGGGTTGCAGCCTCAATCCCCAGTAAGGCGTGTGCAGGAGGCAGCAGATCAATGATTCTCTGTCATCGTTGATGTTTCCATCTCTCTCTCTCTCTCTTCCTCCTCTGAGATCAATAAAAATACATTTTACAAAGAGGAGGTCTCTCCCTGCCTGTACCCAGCATCTCACTTTCTCCACACACTGGGACTCACTGCCCCCAAAGTATAGACAGAGAAAGATAGCTTGTGAGACCTGCATCTAGGAAGGTGGACTGTGCCCCTCCCTCCCTTCCCAGGAGTACTTACCATTTCACACACTCTATTTCCCATGACCGAGTCGTAATCCAGTTTCTAAGTCACATGTCCCTTGCTGGGATATGTTTAGAGAGCCTCCAAGAACCTTAAGAGACATGAGGCAGGCTACCTCTCTCTCCTCTATGCTGGTTACCATGGGAAGTTTTTTTTTTTTTTTTTTTTTTTTTTTTGTTTTTGTTTTTTTTTAAAGGCTCTTGAGCCCAGGCTCCTCACAGACTGCTCAGCTAAGCACCTAGCAGAAGACATGAGCTCCATGGGACCGGCCTTGTCTCCCCTGAGTCTTCCTGGAATCTCTGCCCAGTACAAGCCTGATGGGCTCCTCTTTGTGGTCTGGGCCTGCTTGACATTTTCTTCCTCTGTTTCCTCTTCTTCCCATACTTAGTTTTTTGTTTTTTGTTTTTCCCCCCTAACTATTTACCATGTAACACTCTTATACTACCCCATTGGCAAACATTTATTCTTTTTTTTTAATATATATATATATATATTTATTTATTTATTTCAGAGAGAAAGGAAAAAGGAGAGAGATATAGAAACATCAATAATGAGAGAGAGGTCTAGCCGGTTTGGCTCAGTGGATAGATGATTGGCCTGTGGACTAAAGGGTCCCAGGTTCGATTCCGGTTAAGGGCATGTACCTTGGTTGTGGGCACATCCCCAATAGGGGGTGTGCAGGAGGCAGCTGATCAATCTTTCTCTCTCATGGATATTTCTGACTCTCTATCCCTCTCCCTTCCTCTCTTTAAAAAAATCAATAAAATATTTTTAAAAATAATGAGAGAGAATCATAGATCAGCTGCCACCTGCACACCCTACACTAGGGATCAAGCTCAAAATACCAGCTTACAACCTGGGCATGTGCCCTGATCGGGAATTGAACCCTGACCTCTTGGTTCATAGGTTGACGCTCAACCACTGAACCACACTGGCTGGGAAGACCACTTATTTTTAACAATAACCCTTATATGGTCATGATTAAAGTAAGGCTCATAAAGGTAAAGAAACCTGACCAAAGTAACACAATTAGTAAGTGATGGGGCCATTCATTCATTCAACAGATATTACCGAGTGTCCACCTTGTGCCAGCATTCAAAGCCCCAGAAGGTCATCTGGTTTAAACTCAGGGCTCGAGACCACTCCTGATCCAGCCATCCAGATATAGCAGCCGAAGCCACAAATCCACCCCCCAGCCCCCACTTCCCACACACTCTCCACAAAGGCAACCAATAAGCGCTCCGTCCCCAAAGGCTGGTGAGATCTCTGAGGACTATCTCATTGGGTTGCATTGGGCCTTGCAGTCCAAGTTCTGAACCTGGGGTCAAATGCCAATTCATAGGGTTTTGAAGTGGCAGATGAATTGGGGGGGTGGGGGAGGGCAGGTCCCCAACTCCAAATAAAGAATTTCATGGGATTAGATATAACAAGTGGAAGGCAGGAAGGAAGGGCGGGACGATAATTAGGATTTACTGAGGGTCTCCTTTGTCTCCTATGCTGTTCAAGGCCCTTTCACTTACATCTCATTATCATCCTTAATGTTTTAGGAAGCAAACTAAAACTCGGAAAAACAAAATGACTTCCACTTACAGGTCCCCCAGTAAGTGACTTAATCTTGACTATGTCTGATTCAGAGCCTGTGCAATTCCTTTTAGCAGATCACAACCATGGAGGACCTGCTGTCAAGTCTGGTAATACCTGGCTATTTGAGGTCCCAGCTGACCTAGGTGTGACATCCTAGATGCCAAGTTTTCTTCCTCCCTGACCCAGTCCTGCCATCTTATCTCCGGTTCCCACCTTTCTCAGTTGTATTGCATAGGCAGGATTAGGGAGCTACCTAAGCATTCTGGCTAGGATTGGGGAGTGGGCTGTGTGGCTTTGGGATGCAGCTAGGCTGACCCCATCCAGGATTTCAGGATCTGAGAGAAGAAGTAATAAGCCTGCTGGGCCATAATTGGATGGATAAATGAAGAAGAGGCTGGGGCATGGCTTCAAGCCCACATGGCTCTGGTTG